CGAGCCTAGGATGTACATCCCCCGGTGCCGCGGACGCACTGTCCGACATCGCACCGCATGCGGGAGACGAAGTTGGGCTCTGCCCGAGACTTGGTGACTTCCGTGTCGTGAACACAGGGCTCATTGAGCAAGGAAGATTTACAACGAATTAAGTTGCAGTGTTTAGCGGACACGCGAGCTTCGTTGAGGTAATAATCGATTGGAACTGTAAATGATCTCAATCTTCATGGGGGAGGGTGTAACGGAGTTATACGTACCCTGATAACAGGGTGTTGTGCATGATGTGACTGCACCCAAACAAGATTACGGTATGTGGCTAGGTAGCCAGTAGTTAAGCATTTTTTAGATTTTACTATATGTATTTAGTATATTTAGGAAAATCTAAACTTTAAAATGCCGCGGATAAAGTAAATAAAATTCAGTTTTGGATTTTAAACGGAAGAGCTGATTAGCCTTGGTTAAGGCAGTAATTACTCTTAGAGTAAGCAGATTGCGATCCACTAACTCGTACTTGTTCTATGTATAGAACGAAAGGGCGGTGACCTAAATTACGTTTCCTCAAGCGCTAAGCTACGGCAGCCCCGCTGCAGATATCCGCCCTTCCGCTAAGACCAGAGCGACCTTGGCGTGGTGTCAAAGGCGCACAGGGCTACTCAACTCTTGATTAAAAATTGTGTAACGATTGTACAGATGTGTATTGCCGATTTGAACACAATACCAGAAAGCGGGAGTGTTTGCTCTATTACCGCTATCGCAGCGCGCATATTCATCGGAGAAATTCTTCTACATCGCCATTAGCGCGCTTCGTCTGACTTTCTGTTTAAAGATGAGCTGAGGCGGACATATTCAACCTGGTGCCAAGCAACTTATATAAATTTCACTAAAAAGATGCTGCTAAGCGCGAAAACTCGACCCAAAAATGAATGACAGCTGGCAAAGCATATTGGTAAATTGTCGAGGAATAGCTTGGTAATGTTCTTACCATCTACGGCGTCGCTAATAAGTCCTTAATTTTTGTTACTCGAATGATTACTTCGTCCTCACTTTTTGCTAGGATATAATCTGAGAATTAAATGTGCTGCTATGGAAATATCACTTTGGAAGCATAAAAGTACCGGTATGAGACCAATACTTCTGTGAATTTATTATCGCGCCAATTTTCAATTGGCGCCGTCAAAAAGAGTACTGTACATATATACAGATGCCATGGGGATACCGGGCCTCTTGCCAATGCTGAAGAGCATCACGGAGACCAAAACCATCGACGAGTACAAAGGCCAAACTCTCGCAATTGATGGCTACTGTTGGTGCGTCCTTCCGCAATCTTTTTTGGAAAAGTATACTGCATCGAGATTTTTATCTTACGAAAAGTTCCAACGCAATGAAAATTTTTAGGCTTCATCGTGCCATCTATTCATGTAGTGAGGAAATTTGCTTGGGCCACAAGACCGACAAGTACGTCGTCATGAATTGCGAATATATGCTGATGTCATAAATAAACACTGAACAATCGGTATTTCAGATATGTAACGTATTTTATGGATCGGATCACTACATTACTTCATCACGGTGTAGTTCCTTACGTTGTGTTCGATGGAGGCTATTTGCCAATGAAAAAAGACACAGAAGAGGAACGACGCAAGTCGCGACAGAAAAGCCGAGATTTGGGTATCCAGCATTATAAAAACAAGCGCTTTGCCGAGGCGCGCAAGTGTTTCATCCGAGCTGCTGGTGTATCTCCCTTCATGGCTCATGAAGTCATTCAGGTGGGTTGTTCAAAGTTTTCAAATCTTTCAACTCAATATTGCTTCTTGATGATAAAATTGGATTTTAGCACTTAAAAGCAAAGAAAGTGGCTTACATCGTCGCCCCATACGAAGCAGATGCACAGCTTGCTTACTTAGTGATGAAAGGTCTAGCAAACGGCGTGATATCTGAAGATTCGGATTGCCTTCCGTTCGGCTGCCAAACTGTGCTTTTCAAAATGGATCGCGACAATGTAGCACAGGAAATAAAGATGATTAACCTCAAGAAGAACAGAGGAATGAGTTTTCACATGTTCACAGATCAAATGGTTCGTTATCGTCTCACTAGCTTACATGATTCTGATCAATTGATGTCATCACGAATTTTGTGGTAGTTTCTTGAGATGTGTATCTTTTCAGGATGCGATTACCTACCAAGTATTCCAGGGTTTGGTCTCAAAAAGGCGTATTCTGCTATAAAACAACACGGCTCCTTTAAAAAAGTTCGTCAAATAAATGATTGCACTCGGGTCTTATCAGTCCTTCATTTCTTCATGTGTAGATCATTCGTGCCCTCCGACTTGAGGGAAAAGTGCGAATTCCTGTGACATATGCCGACGATTTTGAGAAGGCGGTTTTGACGTTCAAACATCAGCGAGTATTCTGCCCCATCAAAAAGGTTGATTGATACATTTGGTTTCGTTTTTCTAGGTTGGCTAAGTCAGAGTGATGCTTGTATGCTTAACAGAAGGTTGTTTTTTTAACGCCGATTCCAGCCGATTTGCTAGAGGCCGATCCACTAATGAACTTTTTAGGACCCATGCTAACGAGTGACGTTGCAGGAGCCATTGCTGACGGGGATTTGGATCCAATTACAATGATGCCATTTCCAGCTCCAATACTCCAACCACGTCGAAGCATTCTTCAGCCAAGGTCAACAAACCCTATCAGACTACCAATCGGTGCGAGACCAAATGGGGCGATAAAGTCATTTATTCAGACCTCAAGCGCTGCAGATAACGATCCTCTTCGTCCAGTCCTCAATAAAAGAAAATTCCCATCATTTTGTGACAAGTGGATGTCAAAAAATGAGACGATCAAGAAGACGACATTACAATCGACGGCATCTGATACGGTTGCAGGTCCTGACGCTGACAGTCCACTATCCGAATGTCATAGTTTGGGGGCAAGCTCCACATTGTCACCACCAGACGAATACATCAAAAGTGTACCACGTAACTCAAATTCATCCATACTCCAAAGTCTCCAACCTTGGAAAGTTGGTATACGACGAGATATCCTAATTGGATCATGTAAAGAAAAAAGAAGAGTGCTTCTCGAAGAATTAAAGGAGAATCAGTCGCCAAATCGGCAGGTAGCGCCACCTAACAGCTCTACTTTACCAGTAAAAGAAACCGCGTTTTCAAGAATGATGCGTGCTGGACCGATGCTTCAACAGTATAAGACAAAGGTACGAAAGACAACTGGTCTAGCTACCCGAAACAAAAGACTGCAACATGCTTCTACTTCCAGTCGGATTGAACAATTCGTGTTTACCAGCTACAAATCAAAAGCACCAGATTTGCGCACTGAGTCAATGACGGATTCAAAGTGCACGTCCCAATCTACTGACGATTCTACACAATCACCCGCTGACTCGAAAACAAACTTCAGCGTCGATATCAAGCCAACTGTTTGTACGCTTAAAGAGTTCCAACTGGACATTGATGCAACAAATGTACAAATCTCAAAAGATGCTGCAGCATCGTTCGATCGATTTCGGTTTGAAAAGTAACGTTGTGCGCAAAATTGAAAGTAATTGATAAATACAGCTTGAGCCAAAATGCAATCCTTTGTACCGTCATAGCAAATTATGTCGAGCTAATTTCCCGTTTGCACAGTGGACAACTGTTGTTTTCACGTATCCAGCCACTAACACAATCTAGGTAACCCAAACATTTATGAAGAATTAGCAAGAAAACTTTCAAACCCAAATTTTTTACAACCTTGAATAGCTTACCCTCATGAAACACGTGAGCACACGGAAGAGTCATTGCTTGATCATTTGGCATGAATTCGTATTGACAGATGATACAGCTATTTAATCAAGAATTGTCAGCAGCAAGCTCGCAAGGTAGTCTGTTTTAAATACGTCGTTTTGAAACTTACGTATTTCCATTGTGGCCACGTCTCCATCGATGAGTTGGAAGACTTGACAGCACTTGGACAGCCATTTGTCGCCACCTTTCCTTTTTCACGTCGCCAACTACTTCTCCTAATCTTAACAGTTCATCATAGCTCATATTATCCGGGTCAATACTGCGGTGGTGGTCCAGCAGACCCGACAGATTGGATCCTTGATTATACACCATCTCGACCGACTCGTGTAGTAAACGAGCTTCAGCTTCTTCATGTGCCGCTACGTTCTACAAGAATACAGGATTTCATATCTTAAGCGACTTGACTATGATGTAAATTTCCCTCTTACCTCTTGATGCTGTAGATAACGCGCCAGGGCAAGCGACGCCTCCTCATTGCTATCGTCTCTAGGTTGAGTCTGGATATTCGGTGATGATGGAGGCGGGTCTAACGGTGTTACTGGAGAAGAAAGTAAAGCGATCGATGTGATTGGTACCGGAGACGGCTCAGATACCCAGTGGTATCGTTCATGACGATGTCTCCGAGGCTCAAGTTCCTGTTCCAGCTCAAATCCATACGCACTTGTAGCTCTTGGTTCTGGCGAGTGGTGGTCTAAGTAGAGTCGCGGACGAGTCCGAGTACAAACATCCTCAAAGTTTCGTGAAGTGTAGTGTGTAGATTGCGAAGTATCATGTAAGCTGGTCAGATGATCTAAGTGCACATGGTGCTGTATCGGTTGCAACGGACTCGACACTTCTCGATTTGCATCAGTGGAAGCAAAGTCAAGATCCAGGTGTCGACGTGATGCAGGAGTCGAGTAAACACTACTCGAATGCGGCCGCCAGCTCTTTGTTGAGTCTTCTTTTTCTTCCAGACATTCGCTGTCCAGCGAATCTTTCGTCGAAGCTTGTGGAGATCCAATCGACGAGCTCGGACTTTCAGCGCAAATATCATCATATCCAGAAGTGTGCGCACTTCTTAGAGCATGACCAAAAGATTCTGTATTGCTGTGCTCTGCACTTTGTGTATTGGAATCGAGTACCGCAGACTGCATTGAATAAGAATGAGCAATTCTTGATCCGTCGTATAACATTTTTGACTTCGCAACTTACCGACGACGCTCGTGAGCTTGAAGTCGACTCGGTCTCTGTTGTGTCTAGATATAGCACTGGCCTTTGTAATTTCTCATGCTTCTTATCAAGTTTAAACGTTCATCAGTATGCGGAATCATTCCGATTGAAAATGACCTACCATGTGCGATTCTGACAACAGGCGATTGTGCGAACGCTCAAGCCGAACATATCGTCTCTTAAGACGAGCATATTTTTTTTCTAACAGGTCGCGTTGCTGTCGCTCGCGCTCAAAAGCTGCCTCCATAGCACGTAGCCTACGCTCGCTGTCCGATCCACTCCGATTCATGGTAGGGTTTTAGCGCCAAAATGGAGTATCGAGACCTTTTAATCATTTATCGAACATAACCATAAGTAAAAAATATTTTTATTGGAAACATCAATACATCTATCAATCGATTAATGCTTTCAATGTAATGAAAAGATTCTTAACACTTGACACCACTGGGAGAGACTTGTCCAGTGCTCAATTGCTGAGCGACTTAATTTAGTGAAATTTTCGTACAAAGCTGTTGTATTTAACTCTTTAAATCCCAGCATGCGAAGTTTTTATAAACATTGCGCTATGTATTACTTTCAGTCTCTACCGCCACTTGCTCTTATATTGATGCAATTTTGTATTAAGATAGCAAACATGACCGAGAGGAAATTAACCGTCAACAATGTTTGCTATATTTTCGTCTAGACGAGACATATGCTCATCAAATTTTGCTTAAAATTCATTAGCACCACCCTGTTATACGACAGTGGTTTGAAAGTGGATATGTATGTGCCTTAGTGTAATTATGCGCAAATGCATTATGGCGGACGGACGCACGGTCACAAATGGGAATCAAATCGGCCGATATCGATAAAATGATTTGAGGTCATATGCATGAAAGGATGTCAGATATGCATGTATAATGCACGCGGATTCTGACTTATAGCTCAAACAAGACATTCAGTCGCTCTCTTCTCCGTGACATGATTCATTTGTCAGCACAACAGGCTAAATCGACGGAGTCGAAACTAAAGTTTACTATAGCTGCACGTACATCATATTTCAAGCATCTCATCCGGGAAGTTCATTACTTCATTGCCTACAGAATCGGATTGGCAAACGTCTCTTTGGATTTCACGACTCCTGCGTCAATTTTAAAAGGGTCATGAAAGTATCCTTACTGTTCAAGACTGTTTGGAATGAATCCTACCTGTTAAGTATGATGCATACGATTTTGCGATTTTATGCTAGTGGCAATGACGTAGAAACAAGTACTGTTATATTACACATTTCATCAAGTGTAGTACTGACAGTAATGCAAACTTAGTGTGACCCACATCCGTATAGGATATTCCAAAAAGTGATTTTGGGTATTTCACCCAAAGACATTTGGTACTGCACGAATAACACATTACACTACAGAAGAAGACGATGAAATCCGAAGGGCGTTTTAGCCGCACTTCATAATTGTGATATAAGCTTCAACAGAAAAAATTTCTCGGTATAGAGCATTTTAGCCGCACGTCATAAGTGTTATATTTGATTCACAAAAAGAAAATTAATTTAGCGTCGGTCTAGACTGCAAGAAAGTTGGAACTCTTGGAATAGCAAAACTAACTATGCATAATAGGGTCAGGCTCTCAGTTTCACTCCCGGTAGGAGCGCACGACACCAATCTCCATGCATTTGTCAATGCGGACACTAAAAGTTGAAGTCTCCTCTGTGCAAAGTGTACATCTTGAACCAATTTGTGTTCGACACCCATAATATATACAAGACCAGTAAATTTAAATGTTGACATTAACAAGTCAATTTTTTCTGAATGTTTGTGTATGCCCAAGCTGTTCACATTTGGTCGCTAAGAGTCCTTCTTGCTATCTGTTGTTGCGCGATTTCCATCTGCAATCAACGTGTTGCCTTTTCCTGTCTGATCTTGCTGGGGTGCAGCCATTAATATTTTACGGGCAATCATGTAGAACCAGACGTACTGAAGAACAAAATACGGCATGCAGCCTAGCACGTACAGCGGTTTGCATTTTGTAGCCACTTTTGGAATGATGTAGATCGTGTTAAAAAGCACGCGAGACAGAAAGAAAGAGCTAGCAAATAATGCGCCCGCCACTGTACTGTCCGTGAGTCGAAACCAGTTGTAAAAGAATGTACTCACCTCGTTTGTCTGCATCCATACGTACGCGTTGCCAAATGAATGTTCACACACGGTTGCCTCCTTCATAAAGAGCACAACACCCCAGTACAGACCAAAAACGTGGTGGCCGTAATCCATTAGTCGCGATCGGCGGAGTGAATATAGATTGCGAATTCCATCCAAATGTATCATGACAGCAAGATCGACGAGAAAGTATGAAAGCGAGACGGCTACAGAGATTGTCGTATCCAGTCCATAATAAAGCGTGAAAGCGGAGGAAATTGTGGACACGACACCATGAGTCGCATTCAGCGTGATGATGTGGTTGCGGCCTCGACTTCCTGCAGGCACGATGTTAAGAAGTAGTACCCAAACCACGGACCAGCATGCGACGGCAATTGCCACGCCGAGAAAGCGCGGTGTTGCTACCCCCTCGGTCGGTACGCTAGTCATGATCTTTAATCATACAGTGATGGGTAATATAGACACAAATGTCATCAAGCTTAGTTTGCTAAGTAATTTATAGTCGGCAGTATTAATGTGCACATGTGCATCTCGAAAGTACTTACAGGATTGTTCATGACTGCGTAAATATTGGAGGACTACGAGTGTAGTAGCAAAAATGTCGGATGGTGTACACTTCACTCGATAGCCAGCTTGTTGCCAGTATAAATATTCTCGTTTGTGGTTCGATAGATTGGATCTGATACATAAAGATAGCGCAGTCTATAATGGGATTGACAAAATGATAAAAATCGGTATTGATCAGTACAGTTTTTTGATATTGTATGTGGGCTTCATTATCTTCGTACATTTATATATATAGCTTGTTTGTAGCCATTTTTGATATATGGCAAAATAATGGCGACATCCTTCAAATGCTGTGCATTCATGTAATTTGATAGAAAACGCCCGACAAGAGTAATTTACTGACCAGACGCTAAGAGGAGCTTTGCCATACAGTAAACTCTGATGTATCTCCTTGGGAAGCAGACATTCGTCATATATACCAATTTGACAAAATCGTCATCTCTATCGAGCAAGATCAAATGTTTGTCAATACTGCTCTTGAGGCTTTGCATGTAAAATAAGAGTGTTGACACTCCAGCGCAACATTACCCAGGCAAAGAGAATAGTTCCTTCAAGAATATTTTGTAAAGGACATTTTACAGTGAGCAACCACATGCAAAGATTGTCCGCAACTTCGTGCGCTCACAAGCAGACTTTTCGATAATGTACGTCTCAACGCCATCTCCGGCAATTTACCAGATAAACGATTTTCGAGATCGTAATTGCTGTGCAACGATTGTACTTGCCGATTTAAATACTAATATTTGCTATATTTAAAATCGAGTTGCGTAAAATTTATTTGCCGCCTGATTGAAGTGTGCCAGTAAGGTGAGTGGTATTCAGCGATGAAATGCTGGGGATGTTACGAAGCAATCGATGCTGTTCCGGGCACCATTTTGCTAATGTTGTCCATTCTGTATCTAACCGTGCTAAAGATAGTAATCACAGGCTTGATATTTAGCAAGGAAGACTGTAGATTTGAGCTCGAGCTCATTTTGTTCATAGCAAACGAAAGAACCGAGCTGATCTTGTCCCAAGAATTATGTTGTAAATAGTTGTACCGCAAACGACACGCCTCTAATTTTTTTAATTCTTGGATGGCCATGAAGGCATTGCAATCTTAACGATTAAATTTTGCCGCGTAAGTTTTACTTTATAAGCCGGATAGGTTGGATAAGTTTTGATCTGAGACATCACCAGCAAAATTACCAAGGGGTTGAATGACCTTCCTCATAATCAAGTCCACTAGCGTTAAATTGCGCCATTGAGCTTCGACTACACTGACGTTGTCCAAAAGGCCAACATAGATATGTTACTCTGCACGTGAGTCGGATATCACCGATACGGCCTCTTTGATGATTAATGGCACTTGAATGCTGGTGTCCCGTGCAGACTTCTGATTGATCCTCTACAGATAAATGCACTGCTTAGTTGTTGTTCTTTGCTTCATGTACGTTGTCGAAAAGAAAAATACTGTTAATTCATTGTGAGTGAATCATCCAACAACACGGTATAAGCTGATGAAAGCGTTATTGCCTGAGGGTGCGATTACACTCATACCTAGACAAGCCAAGGCTTGACTGGTAGTCTACAATCAATAAGATAGCTAGGCTCGGAGCCAACCAATATCTTAATTTGACTATGACATCATTTAAACCATAATTCGATAAGTTGATATATTGTATCTGACAATTGGAAAATTGTAGTTGACTTTACCCATATTCATAGGGCATGTTTGACTACAAACAGAAGATGTTTGCTCGAACGGTGCAACGATTTTTCTCGTGCACTTGCACAGAAAAAACTTCGATACTACGAGTTCGCGTTAACAAACGCACCTCATAGGTTTTGCCCAGAAGCGAAATTGCTTTTAAGTATGTATAGCTGGAATAAAGTCTGATAATATGTATGTGTACTTCATCATCCGCAACAACAGCCGACATGTCCCCAGATTACGGAATCCCATTACTCTGTTAATTATAACACTTTAATATATAGTGCATCTGTAATGTGTACGCACACCACAATACAAGAAAAGAAGCGCACACCAACGCGGATAAGCTGAGATCAAAACGAGTCTAGTAGACTGACGGTGATTTAAATCTTTTTTTGTATACTAGACTTTAACTGCAGCGGTGCATCATACAAAATGATACTTCTGGCAGTATATGTTAATGCTGAAGGAGCGAAATGCCATCTCGTTTACATAATGATCGCTCATGTACAGCCTCAGTCACTCCGTTTACAAGTGTGTACAACTTTTTGTCCGAAACCTGTGGCTCTCACAAGGTTGCGCAGTTCAGCTGCTGTAACATAAACTGTAGCACGATATCATGGATACGCCGATTTTTGGTAACATGAGAGCAAGATCTTCCAAATTGTGCTCACGGTTGCCTGGACCCTTAGAAACCCGCTCTGTAATTGTCTCAAAACCTCGAGACCACGATACATGGTTTAGTTGTTTTGTCACGACACGTGAAAAGTCTACAACCTTAACTTTCAATGA